AGTTCAGTAGTTAATAATTCTCCAGAGTGAAGACAGATAACAGGGCATCTATCTAGATTTGATAATTCTGACTCAGTGATTTGGTAACTATACATTAAATGGAAGGTGTTTCAAGAAAGGAGTAGGGAGGGCCTCGAACTAACCTTGCTCCAGGGTAACAACATGCAATATTTACAAACCTCCACTTTGGCAAGAGGGTGAAATTCTTTTTATGACTTATTCTTTGCTTTAGTGTGTGTACTAGAAATTTGGGGAATGTATCTAATCACTGGCATTAAAAACCCCCCAGAGTGACCCAGGGGAACATTTCTCTGGTGACAACCATTTATCTGTTGAGATTCCCATTTATTCTGTTTATCTTGAAATACATTCCAATTATAGACAGTGAAGAGGATAATAAAGGAAATGAGTCTTATGCATGGCTCCTACCATTCTTTGTTGTCACAGTTCACAATCTGAGACCCTCCTACTCACTAGCTTAGCCTACTGTGTACACTTAGGTGCCAGGCCCCAAGACACTTCAGAAAGATGCTGTGTCCCCTCTTCCTGGGCCCCAGCAGTCCCAACAACTCTCTGTGCAGGGGAGTGACCTTTATATCAGCTCTTTGTCCATTTGTGCAGACTGTTTATACTAAAGGGGGGAAGGGGAACTATTGACAAGTTAAAAAAAAAATTAACTCCCCTCAGAGGATGCTCATTTGCAAATGTCATTTGACAAGAAATCAAAACCAGTAATAGTCCCACCCCAGGATTTTATTCATGGGATGCATACTTCACATACCAGTCAAAGACATTTCAAAATATAACAGATTTGAGATTTATCAAACAAAAAATCATTCTACATTTATTTCTTAATTTTCAAATAGAGTTATGCCATCCTCAATATAAAAATGAGGTGGGAAGAAAAGAAATAATTTAAATAAGTCCACCCTGTGAGAAAGTTGCTTGCTGCCTACTGAAAGAACTTGCTCTTGAGGTAAAGTGACAAGTGGTTTAGTCATTGGAAGCCTAACGAGAAAACATCATAATCCAGATGAGGAGGCCTGGGTGCTGTCACCTTGGCCCTCTGTGGAGGTTAACTTTTTCATGTCAGATGTCACCTTGCCATCTCAGGACATGCTGGGAGGGAAATATGCCATCCTTAACCTCAGAAGAACAAATGGTATGCTACTTATGAACAAAATGGACCCTGTTGATTAAAAAGAATCCATACTTCAGAGCAAACTTCAGGCAACTTCACCCAGGAATTCTTTATTAATTTTAGTGAATTTTGATTTGTATGTGTTAAGTTCCTTAAACATCTAATTAAAACTTTTCCTCTAACTCGAGATCACCTTCTGCCAAAGTTGGCCACATAATGCAATGCCAGCATCTTAAATAATTAGAAGAAAAATTCAGGAGGTGTATTTACTGGACATACTTAAATATCTGTGTGCCTATGGAGACCTGCACCAGATAATGTGAAATTGATCAAGAGGAATGAACATGGTCTTCATTCTCATGAGACAGTCTCACTGATGAAATGCTGGACATATCTTACCAAATAAAGAATGATAACAAGGGCCTGGGGAGAGGTTCCAGTTGCTTGTGTATATCGGAAATGTAGGGTAGTAGGCAAGCTAGCAAATGCCTGTAACTCCAGTTCTAGAGGATACAGTTGCTTCTTCTGTCCTTCAAGGACATCTGCACTCACATGTATACACACACACACAAACACACATACACACACACACACACACACACACACACACACACACTATAAATCTTTTTTTAAGGTACAAAACTTTGGATAAAGGGAACTCTGAGCACCCATTGAGATGGTTAGAAAGAAGAATTAGTGTACCTATATTTAGCTCCATTTCCACAACTTTAAAAGGGAACCAACCACCAGACATGGAGAGGTCTCAGGTTGTAGGAGTAGGCACAGCAGTCCAAGCAGAAGCCCGGTTTGTGTTGGAGACCGAAACCGGCGCATCTACCTGGGAAAGGGCACAAAAATGGCAGGCAGCAATGGCGGGTAGCGATGGCAGGCGGGAATGGCCAGTGCTCAGAGGCCACCCCAGCCTTTTCTCCTGTTGAGGTCATAGGAGACCACAACATTTACTGTGGCATTTATCTTTCTGAGAAAAGGAATGTTCAGCTGGCTCTGCACAAGACAGCAAAGGGAAGCCATCAGAGATTAGCTTTTTCAAAGCCAGCTTCCCACGGGTGCTTAAACCTAGTGCACAGAAATCATGAGTGGGATTCATTTTTAACATGGACAAAACAGAATAGCATTTCAAAATCATGGAGATGTCAGATGTGTGGGCCTGTATGTGTTTATGAGTGTGTGTGTGTAGTTGATCACAATGGTGAGAGTGAATGTGTCAATCCTTTAAACATTCATCCTAAGAAATATTTAATTTCCAATATCGTCAAAATAAAATATAGTGCTTGGGGATATTTCTAGAAGATGTGGCCTTATATTTGTATTTTCCCCTTTGTGATGTTTCTCCACTTTGGACAACAGTATGTATGATGGATTTTTAAAATCAAAGCCAAAAGTTATATGTTAAATTCATGTTAGTTCCTGGATAAGATGAATGTTTAATTTTGACATCTTTTGCTTTCCCCTATCTTAGTATATTTCCATTTATTCTGTTTAGTATCTCTGGTGAAGGGATAAAGACAATAAAAGCATTTGTTTTTAAAAAATTACCAACTCCATGGGACCAACAAGATGGCCTGGGCAGTTAAAGCACTTGCTGCCAAGCCTGATGACCTTGATCACTATAACAGACACACATGCACACGCACACACACACACACACACACACACACACACACACACACACACACGCACACACACAAATAAATGCAATATATGTTTTAAATTACAAACTCCATGGGAGCCATAAAATCTGTAAGTAGCATACTGATTACAAATGAATGAGAATCTGTGTATTGTGCATGCTAAGTGTTTTAGGCACCCAAAATAGATGAGTAGGAAATCGTCATAAAGATGGCAGGCTGGCACTCAGTGTGAGCAATAACCAGAGGAGTGATAGCACTTATAAAGCTGCTAGGATCTAAAATAAAAAAGACCACATACTCGAAATACTTGGATTACTTGTCCATGAAGATGAAACAAAAGCATCTCATTAGAAGGGTGCTTCCAAGTGAGCAAGTATGAGGTTGGCTGATTCTTCTAGAATGGATAAGGATTTCCATAATCCTAACAACTTGGAGTCTGAAATAGGAACACTGACACAACGTCAAGGCACTATAAAGTGACTGGCAGGACAGTTTAGGCTACACAATGAAAACCTTTTGCCAAACCAGAAACCAATAGTATGTGTATGGCTGGTCTCAGTGATTGCACAGAAAAGGGACTTCTGCCTAAACATGTGATTGCTCTCCTAAACAGTCATTTCCATGGAGGGAGGAGAGCTGCCCTCAGGTCTCAGATGTGATGGTGTGCTAGGAAGGAAGGGTCTGGGCCCCTCTTATGCTTCAGACGAGGAAGAGCACTGCCAAATCATTCAATCTTAATCTCACTATCCAAGTGAGGTATATCTCCCAAACAAGTTATCATGAGAAAACCTAAATTTTGTCAGGTCCTGGCTCAGAAATCTGAGCTCAAGGCAGCTTCTCCCAGTAGCTTCACTCCCTTCCCTGAGAGGCCAGGAGTGGAGCAGCACCCCTTCATCAGAAGTATGGCTCCCCATCCTCCTGTTGGTTCCCCATCCTCTCCATGCTAATGTGTTCGTTCCCCATCCTCTCCATCCTCATGTGTTGGTTCCCCATCCTCTCCATCCTCATGTGTTGGTTCCCCATCCTCTTCATCCTTATATGTTGGTTCCCCATCCTCTCCATCCTCATGTGTTGGTTCCCCATCCTCTCTATCCTCGTGTGTCGGCTGCCCATCCTCCCCATTCCCGTATGTGGGCTCCCCGACCTGAGACAGCCTTGTGACATCCAATATTGCTCTTCATCATCCATTCCATATCACCAATAAGAAAATCAGTGAGTCAAAGCTGAGCTGTCTTAAGTAACAAATGTCAGTGCCATTTGCCATAACCCTGTGTTTCTGTGGTATCTTCCAATTTTCCTAAGAAGGATTGAAAGTACTGTTCTCCAGAATTGTTTAAAAGGCTATAATTTTGTATGTTTTATTGTTAAAGAAGGCAATTATAAAGAAATGAGAGCTATCATGGAGTTCTCACAGCAAAGTACCAAGGAAAATGTTACCCTTTGCACACAGTGTTTTCTACTTAAAAACATCTCAAGAAATTCAACAAGGAAATGAGGAACAGTGAATTTCACCTATGATCAGAAAAGGAGTGACTGAAGTAACAGCCGAGGCAGTCCTAATGAGATAAATTTCAATCACCTTCTAATCTACTTCTTTCCTGTTCTTTTTAAGCATGAGGTAGGAGTAGATGGCTTCATGTAGTGTGAAGTAAATAGCTCACATCTTATCTGAATGTATTTCCAGTTGTGTTTTCATTTTGTTGTCTTTGTGTTGTTTCAAATAATAAGTCAGTGTTGACCCTTTGGTACAGTTATGCTTATGAGGTTGAGCTATTGTGCATATAGGTTTTTAGAATATGTAAAGCAGCTGAGCTCTATAAAGAACATCACACCACGGTGACTCTACTGTTGGTTCTGCAGAACTACTGATAGCAAAATTGAGCAGAGTCACTATATCACATACCAGCTCGATTCTAGATTTTAGGAGCAGCATCCTACAATAAGGTGGATATTCAGCAATAACAGCCTGAATGGAGGACAGCCTGAAGGTGGCAATAGGATGGGAGGGTGAACTCGGATAGATGAGTGGATTTACCATGTATAATAGGCTCTCAGATACCCTTTCTGCAGCCACAGACATGGAATCTGTAGAGCTACCCTCTGCTCAGACTGTATTACACTTGTTAAACGACAAAATTCATGGGGTGTTGGCACTAAAGCTGACAGTTGCAACAGGGAACTAACCTGGGTATCATGACTCTTTCCAGGTAGTAGGTGTAACCTTGAAGAAAAAATGGCACTGTCTTCAAAAAAGTGACCTGACCCTGGCTTTGGTGGGTTTTTCTGCAAGAAATGCAAAGCCCCGCATGTGTTTATGATTCAACCTTTCAGCCGACCACTGCTTTGTTCTAGAGTTCAGCATGAAAGGACTAATTTTTGTTTGTTTTTTGTTTCGGTTTTAGTAAAACAGCATGTCTATTGCTAATTCTAGCTACTATAGTTGCACATGTAAAAATTCTCTCTTTGTAGTTCCTAGATTGGTAGCATTTCAAATAAATGACAATTTGAAAAATTCACCTGAAATTTTTTGAGATGCTTATCAATTGATATCTTCCTTCTCATCGCAAGAAGAGTCTGAGTTATTGCTTTTCAGTTATATCTTATAATACTAGATTCAGTCCTTTAAATATAATAGGGTTTGAATATAAGCATGCCACTTTGTTTATTGCTATATTAGTAGAATGTCTTAGAGCATGGAAAGACTTCTTCACAAATGACTTTGCTCTTGAAAAGTTGCAGAAATAAATGTTTAGGATGGATATTTTTTTCTATAAATGAGCACAGCTTATAAACATATAGTAAGTTAATAGCATGCACTTTTTCACTCAAACAATGTTAATATCTGAAAGACATGTTAAATGGCTAAATATTATCCCAATCTATCTTTCCCAACAATTCAGAATTGTGCTATTATCTATTTTAGGAAAGTCACATTGCTTCATTAAAGAGGAAGCCTGAAGTTCTTGTCTTCCCCAATTGACTCTGCAATGAAACATCAAGTTTCCCTTTATTCTTCCAGAAGTCAGTGAGCCCAAGGATCAAGGACATGCAATCTTTTGAGAACACATATGCAAATTGTTACTGATCCATCTGTGAAATTATAGCTCCAGTACCTGCTTTTCATCTTGGAAAGGGACACGTTGTCATTTAATATCACAACCCTTAAGCCAAAACAAACATATCTTAAAATCTATTAACTGTATATAAAGGTTTCCTTTCTTGCTGTAAATATAAGCTGTGACTAGCTACATTTTAGTTAGAACCTGAGTAAATAGAGAGGTTTGCTCCTTGAATGGAACCTGCTTTTCAGATGTCCTTGCAGCACCTAAAATATTAATATAGCTCAATCCCTCCTGTGTTTGTATAGGTGAGGATGTCCAGCTCTAGTGAGTTCTGGAGTCAATTCCCTTTCCAGACAATGTCCCTCTCAACACACCACACACTTAACACCTATCCACAAGCCTCTCTGTGAGATGGCTATATTTTAAGTAAATTGAAAACACAAATATTTTATGTGCTTGTAATATAAAATGATTTTCTCCAGGGAGGCTCTGGCAAGAGACCTTTTGAAAGTATCAAGAGGTTACTGGGAAAGTGATGTTTTGTTTTGTTCCATGATGACAGACCCATATTTACTCTCATAAACTTGATAATTTGGTTAACTCAAAGGACAGAAGGATAACATCCCTTGGTGGTTCACAATTCTCTTTATGTGAGACAAACTAACACCAGATACAGCAAGACCACTGCCCCAACAGGAATATTTTACTTGTGTATTTATAGAATTCTTCAATTAAAAGACATCTAAAATTATACTTTAGTTCTTTGGTCTCAAAAACATTGAAATTAGGGGAAGAATTCTAGCTGACTCAAGTCAGACCATCCCACAGAACACTATGTGTAAAACCCTGGTATGTGAAGCCATTATGGAATACTTAAGAAATGAAGTTTGTATCTTCCTTATACCAAATTCACTGAAAAATGAGAGTACAAGAAAACACAGGGAAAGCTCTTAGCAAATCAGATCCTGGCTCTAATCTCTGCCTCAAACCAAAATAGCTAGGGGCTGTCTAGCCATAATTTATAAATGAACACAACAGGAAACTCATAGCATGCTAAAATTGATACTATAAAAATATGTTCCTCTCATGTTAATCGACTTCAAATATATTTATACATATAAAAATACTATGTTAAACAGGTCCGCTGTGAAAGGTGAAAAAGTAGCTAACTACACGTTCACAAATAATCTTTCAGATTTTGTGTGTTTTCTCCTCAGCCAAAAGCATCAAGATCCCCTGGCAGCAGCCCACCTCTTCTCTCTTGTTGGACTGATCTTTAAATATTAGCCTATCTTGTCCTAAATAACTTCAAGATGCCTGACACACTCGTTGTTGGTTTCACTGTTGTAGGGCAAAGGCTCTAGGGCTGCAGATAAGGCTGTTGCCATGGTGATGAAGGAGATACCGAGGGAGGAGTCTGCAGAAGAAAAGCCCCTCCTTACTGTGACATCACAGGTGGGCAGACCCTTAGGGTTCCTGTAGGAAGCTGACATATGTTAATGAATCAAAAAATGTGATCATCAGACTAAAAAAAAAAAAAGCAAAACTAACTCAAGCCAATCTTTATTAAGCAGTTTCAATGAAACAACTGTACAAATATAAATGAAAGCCAAAATTGCAAAAGAAAAAAATTAGTTCTTGATCATGAATATTAATTTTCATTACTCAACATTAGTTTTAAAAATTGAGACAATATGCGTACAAGTATAACACACTGCTTCTTTAAAAGGAGTCTTATTGACTTTTGAGAAATACCAATAACAAGCAAAAAAAAAAAATCGAATTCCTGAATAAATCCAGTCGTATTGTATACATATGTCAGTTTACCAGTAGATGCTCTAAATTTTCGTAAATGTTAAATATATTTGTTGTGACTTTGCATACTACACATTTGTCTATACATATTTATGTCGATAACTAAGTTACAGGAATGAGCCGGAAGTCCCCTAGTTTCCATGTAGAAAATGGCTCTCTGCTCCTCCCCACACTTTGTGGTCTCAATGAGGAAACATGATCTCTATTCCTAGCATTGAAGAGCCATTTTCAAACTTTATTGTAACACACACAGAGAAAAGTCCACATGTGTCTTTGGAGACACACTGAGACTGATCCTGCATATGCCCGGGGACTCCCGAAGCACCCTGTAAAAGTCTCCATAAATATCTATAGCACAGTTCATTGCCACTCTGTGCAGTTTCCAGTTTTAAATTCTGAGATGAAAAATATTTTTCTTGCATTTATCTTATAATTTAGATTAGGTTGTTATGTTAAACATTCCATTTCTTTCATAACGTATTCGTAAATGCAGTGATTCTCTTCCGATTATGCACACGCCTAGAATTAGAAAAATGGCCACTTACAGCCCCCATGAAGTGCATTTCTGTCAAAAGCTAAATTATGGCAGCTTATTTTCAGACTATCAGCAGATCTGGTCCCCAGCTGCTGCCAACATGTGTGGTTTCATTTTATTCTAAATGCCACGTTGTAAGTGATGAAAATTATATAACACCAAAATTAAATAAAGCTTTAAGTTATTAAAGGTTTCTAGGATTGGGAAATTTTATGTTTTCAGAGTGGGTTTGTTGTTGTAGTTGTCCATAAAGAAAACATGCTTTTCCCTCGGTGTCATCAACTTGCCTGTCCTTTACTGAGTTGACATGAAGTATATACCATTTTACAATAATCACCTGCCCATCAGAGTCAGACCTTTGTGAATCCTATATGCAAAATATCTAGCCCATAATACTTCTGGGAATGATTGGCAGGTGAGCACTTGGCACTCCAGGCAGCTGATAAGCTCCATGCCTGTGGTGATGTTGGCTCTTGTACTACACCATGGCATCCTGGGATACCACAAGTAAGACAGGTTCCAGTCATCCCCAGAGTCTCCCAAACCTTACATTTTGTGCTGTTACTTCCAAGTTATTATTTTCACACATATAATATGAATACTGTAGTCTAAGCTTGAGTTTAAAATTTCATACCCAATGATAGTTTTGATATTTTAGAGAAATCATGAATATTATCATCCTTTTACATTCAGAACATTAGTGTGTGCCCTTTTAATTCTGTCTAGTGTCATGTTGACTGTTTCTGAGAGACTGGTTATGATTTTACTGCATGAAGATTGTGTAATGCTTTCTTTGATGCTTCGTATCCTTACTGCATATTGGCCAGTTTATGAATCAGCAGACAGAATTCTGATTCATAAAATGCGATGCACTTGTGATGATGATTCTGTGAAACTCAGTGACAGCTGTGATAGAGTGATTTCTCAACCAAATGTAGTTTTATTAGCTGATATGTTTTTTACATGACACACAAGTGGCTTTTCCCCTGGTATGCACCAGTGTCATGCACAAGAAGCTGAGTGAGCTGAAAAAGTGAGTACTTCCCATGGCAACCACAACATTCAGTCTGTCTACCATGCCACATTTCTTAGTTGTTAACCTGTGTGAATGTCCTGCTGTCTTGACATGTTTGTCCCAGTGTCTCTGATAAGGACTACTATGGCATAGCACTACATATTGCTCAGTACAAGTAATCATCTTCATCCCTTGTATATCAATGCCAAATGTCATGTCATAGATGCCAGACATTTCTGAAGCCAATTATCATAAAAGATAAATACAGAATAAGCCATTGTGTTACAGCACCCTGTTCAGTAACTGTTTACTCAGCAGGCCAATAATTCAGCATTTTAAAATTTTGATTACAATGGTTTGTTCTCGGATTTGAGAAGGACTTAGCTAGCCATTCTCCAGTGATATCATCAGCAGCAGATGAAACAAAGCAGAAGAATTAGCCAGATGACTGGATTCAAAAACTAGACCCCAGAAAGTGTAATTACTGCTTCTATAGGATCAAACTAGTCCAAGTTCATGCTACCCTAAATTAATGCCAACTCAGTTTGTAAACAGGCATACATTGATGAAAGGTTTGAAAGAAAAACACAGATTGCCAAATCTTTGAGGAAAAAGTTCCTCCAGGCCTGGGCTCTCCAATGCCACTGAGCACTTCCAGCTTCTGGAACCTGAGATATGCCGCAAGCTTTTAAAAAAAGAAAAAGGCTTTGAATGCTTAATCCCAAAATATGCAAACTAACACACTGGTCATTTTTATTGATCACATGTTGGAATATTTTGGAGATGTTGAGTTAAATGTGTTGACGAAATTATTTTTACTCATTAATGACCACTGAAGGTGGTGTGAAGGTGTGAAGTTGTTTATACTAAGCAGCATTGCTGTAAGCTGTGACACATACACAATTTTATGATAGACAGAAACCCATGTACCCGAAGATTATGCCATGGAAAATGAGGGCTCATTTTTAGGAGACAAAATGGGTTTAGTGAGTATACTCCTCTCTGGAGGAAACTTGAGCAAGTTTCATTTTGACAGATTTGATTTCCTGGCTTTTTAAATAAAGGTATACCCAGCTCCTTTTTCCTCCAGAGCACAGTGTCTTTGAACTGATTTTCACATTTCTTCTACCTAAAGGGCATTTTCCTTCCTACCCCACCGCCATGCTGTATCCGTTCCCACTTCTTATCCCTCCATAGGAAATGATTTTTCTGTGTATGATAAAGAGCAAAAGAGCAATGTCCTTGACTGAGAAACCTTCTGAAGGTGACTAAACTTAGCTTCATTTTGGGTTCCTATCATCAACTTAAAATGATTGCCTTAAGTATATGCACCTACCTTCCTTAGTAATAGCACTGCCCAACTGTGGAATGGCATTGTCAGGCACTTTCTGCACAAATGAATTAATTTTATACATCTAACTGTCCTGCCTAGAAAAAGTATGACTGGCTGATCTTTAGATTAAGTCAAGGATTTGGAGGATGTTTGATCTTGATGGTGACAAGAACTAACATGAGTGATTGGGATGGGGGGGTGCATTGGAGCCTGGTCACGGCTGTTAATACAAATACCTGAAGCTCTAGGGTTTCAGAGAAGGCATGACCAGCCTCTGAAGCCAGACTGTTAAAGGGCTGGATGATAGTTAACTTATCAATAGAATGAAATAGCTCACATGTTAGAGAATACCCCACATACGATCACTATTTTGATGGACATTGAATGAATCCTAAACTTATATGGACTTAATAAGCTATGAAGTAGTCCTACAACAAAATGGTAAATGAAAACCTACCCCACAGCTAACACACACTGCAAACCAACAATGTCACACACAATAAGGGAGGTTTTTAAATGTACAGGTGCATATTCGCGCTTTGCTCCCAGAGACACAAAATGAGCTTAAAATTCCCAGTGTCTATTATTATGACATTTTACATCAACATTACAAATGTGTGATTATTTATCAGTTGTTTCCAGTTTATAACTAAACTGGTTTCATTTCCGTTGTTGGGACAAATACCCTCACAAAGAGAAACCTGAGGGAGAAAGGAATTTATCTGGTTTACAATTCCCAGGCTGTGCCCATTATTGTAGGGAAGTCATGCTAGAAACCTACAGCACCACATTCACAATCAAGAGGGGGAAAAACACATACATTCATTATTGCTTGCTCTTAGCTTTCTCCTTCCTTGCACTATTCAAAGCCCCCTGCCTAGGGAATGACACTATCCACAGTAGTCTCTGTGGTTTGTACCTCAGTTAACAAGACAAGGCAATCGTCCACTAACACACCAACTGGCCAACCTGATCTAAATAATCCCTCATTAAGACTCTCCTGGGGCATTTCTAGTAGTGTCAAGTGGTTAATTAAAACTGACCTGCATTCCAGCTTTATTGTTTTAACTTTAAAAATTATTCTTTGAGTGTTGAAATGCTTAAGCAACAGAGCACAATATTGACCTGAAGTGAAATCATCACGTTTCCAGGAGTTAATATCTCGTGTATTGTTTGATTATCTGAAATGCATTTTGTTTTGTTGTCAGACACAATTTTTCACTATTTCTTTTAATGAAAAACCTAAGTAATGATTTATTTGAAGATAAAGTTAAATTTTAGTCATGAAATAACATAATTATACACTCTTGTTTAAATAACAGAATGCATTTAAAAGTAAAATATTTTTCAATAAGGCCATGAATTTGAAAGTGAGCAAGGAGGGCTTGGAATGAAGAAGGAAATGATGTAATTCTATTATAATCTCAAAAAATAAAAGAAATAAGTTTAAGTGAAATATTTCCCTACAATTTGGTTCAAATAAATCACATGATAAAATGTAATTTTTTTTTAAAACACTAGAACTAGAGGAGTTAAAATGGGACTGGGGCAGTTGTACTTTCAAATAAAGTATTGATAGTAATCCATTGGAGCTAGTGATGCTACCTGCATCTGTGTGACAGCAGCTACTGAACATGTCAGCTCTCCGAACAGTCTTTAATAGGTCACAATGCAGAAATCACTTGGTGAATATTTGATTAACAATAAAGCCTCAATTATTTTTTGAATCCTGATTGGCAAGAAAGCCCTTCACGCAAATCCACACCTACCTTCTTCTGTACCCAAGTTTCTGTGTCTTCTGAAGTATCTTCCCTCAAACTCTCCATATTCAAGTTTCTCATTTAAAATTTAAAAAATGGGTGAGGATATTTTTGTCTTGAGATGGCTTTGCCTTTCCATTCACCTGTGTCCATGTCCTCCTTGTCAGTGGTGGTGGTGTTGGGCTGCCATAGGCCTGAATGAATGCCCACTGCTTTAGACATTAATTCTTGGCATTCTTCACTTCTTGGTAGAAAAACCAGCAGCCTTACCAGAATTACAAAATGCTGCTTAGGTGCCACCATACTCCCCATTTAAAGGACACATCCCTAGACGGAAATGGGCATGAATGTCCAAGTTAATGCTTTCTAGGAAGTTGCTAAGCATTTTTGAAAGACCACTAATCTCGCCATGGGTTGCTCAAATTCAGTATAAAGTCCAAAATGTCCATGTAATTATTCTGCTGTATAATCAGCCAGTTACACTGCATAAAACTAGTCAGCACTTATTAAACCACTACTATAGGATGCAAGGGGGAAAAAAAGATTTTAAAAAGTCTCTAATGTCACGACAGTTCTGGTCTAGTGAGCAAGAAACCCTTAAAACTAAGATGATGCTACTATATAAACACAGATATGGAGATGGTTCAAAAGGTGCACACTGCCCTCCACTGAAGGTCAAGATGTGCCATTGTAGGGACTCCTGCCAGGGAAGTAAGCATCCATTGAAACTATAGCCTTGCACACGCCAGGCACATGTTCTCTCACTGATCTGCGCCCTCAGTGACCTCTGAGCTGATGCAAACATTGAAAAGAGACTACAGTCAGAGAAGAAACGGAAATGTAAAGATGTGGACAGATTGAGACAAAAACCTTACACCTAATGAAGCTGGTCTTTTAAACTCAGCTGTGATAATCTGATTAATCTAAGAATCTGGTTATCAAAATTGCAACCACCTGTCTCGGTTATTAACAAAGAACTTGAAACCTTTGAGACACATTTTAATGACACCAATGTGCTCTGTACCCAAAGCTTTAAACGAGGGAAATCGGTAAAGCGTTTTCAAGTGAACAGAAGTAGCTCTAAACTCTGGAACTTCATCCTTCTGATGAATAAGGACCGGATCCATAGCACACAACTTCAAAGTAAAGTTTAGCAGAATTATTTGGGGATTCCATTCAGTTTGAACCTTTTCGTTGTGACCTGAAAGATTCATTTATTCTTAAATCACCACCAGGAAAAGTGCTTGTTTTAGAGTGAGAAGGGGGACATGGGGAAAGCTGATCCTGTCTACACACTCTAAAATACCACTGCCATGACTTAAACAGTGTTCAGTCTATTTACCTGGACTGTGTGAAATACACGTTTTCGTGCCTTAAGTTCTTGCCAAGCCATTGTCTTATTTGTGAGCCATTTCTGGAACACCTTTTGCATGAAAAATTTCATACTAGAATCTGTGAAGGCTGTAATGGGTGAGCTGTGGTTGTGTCTAACCTCAGACCCTGTAAAGGAATCTTCCTTTGCCTTCATGATGCCTCTCACCCCATCTTCCACATCTTTATCCAAGCCCAAGCTCTTTCTGATCCATTTTAATGGCTGTTCCATGTTCTTGGTCATCTGACCTTTCACCTTCTTCACCTGGATCCCTAGCCTCATCCCACTGCAGCCAGAGTACCACCACACTGGTCCGGAGTGAGAAATGCTAACTCTAAAGACTGTTAACTGTGCCCTAGTGTTTTGTGTCTCTGGGGCAAAACCTCAAGAATGACATAGCAATATAAGTGGCCATCACAGAGCTCCCATCAGTCCCGGAGTCAGCAGTGGTCAGAAAATGGACGCTGAGGAGGCACCAGCCTTGCGGGGGCAGGGGTCTAGAAGACAGGAGAGACATGACTCTGCCCTGGCCTTCATGGAATCATTCTCAGCCACCATCCCCTGATTCCCATTCCTCCCGAGTTGAGTGAATCTGAGAGGGCTGCTGGTTCTTCCTTCCCTCGGGGACTCCATCTGAAATTGAACTGAGTGACTGCAACACCAACAAAGTCCTATTGCCTTTGACAAGCATGCTTTTCCTAGGAAAGCCCTTATTCAGCAGTGCCTTTCACTTGTTTTTCCATTTAGATATTGATATAAACAATGTTTCTTTCTGGAATTCACCAAATATATGGGACGGTTTTCGGCAATAAGAGCTAAAAGTATCTGCAAACGTTGAATATCCCAATATTCTAAGCTATAGAAACTCAGGTCAGGATTCAGAGATAACTTCTTAGCCCTTCGTTGTTATGGAAAAGAAAGTACCACAGAACATTTCTTGTAATGTAACTTGTGTTAAACTATTACTAAAAATGATACAGGTTGAACATTCCTATTCTGAAATAAGGTCCAAAACTTACCAAGTTCCAATATGGAGCTGTGAGTGGAAGCCTCTGGCTTCAGAGAGCAGGCGTCAGCTGAAACAGAGGCAGACACTCAAAACCCATTACATAAACTTACCTTCAGGCTTGTGTGCAAGGTGTGTATGAAATATAAGTGAACTTGGTCCTGTCCCTAAGTCAGCCCTTATGTGTACCTAAACATTTCAAAACCAAACACTATCTAAATTCTTCTCCAAATCAAAACGTTACTCAAGAAATACTTAACTCATATCTTTTTAAATCAACACAAAGATAATTTAGTTATAGCTATCTTTTTGTGAAATTGGACTTTCTTCAAAAAAGTCCTGATTATCAAAGAAATAGCTATGGCGTCATACATAGATATTCATATTTTTAAAGTCACAGTGCTATTGTGTCTCACACACATTAGCCAGCAAGGCCGGGAGACTGGTAAGCAGCCCATGCAACTTGGTGAGTGCAGGACTGTTAGAGAGATAACTCAGAGTACAGTGTGGTGCCATGTTTGATGGTGACCATCAGCCTGCAGAAACCTTGGCACTGTGGCATCCACACCACATTCCATAGGAAAGGTTCATTTCACTAAATACCGAGGGACAAGAGAGAAAATGCCATCACTACATCCAACATGATGTCTGAATCCTAGAAACTGTCCCCTACACAAAGTTGCACTCAAGCTTCCTGTATGAGAAGCAGATCGGGACACAGAATCACCGGGAGTAGCCACTTTGACATTCTCTGATGTCTTACATGCCTCACCAATGATTTCAAGTATATATTCAGATCACAAAATAGACTTTTATGCCAGAAAATATTTCAACTAATTCCTAAACTTGAGTTGACTGCAACATTCTTAAAATCTCAGATGTCTTACACAAAAACTACAGGGAGCTCACAGACCCTGAACACTTAAAACTATTTCAAAATAAACAGTATGGGGGATAGCCAAGGAGAATCATCAAGAAAACAAAAAGCAAAGAAATAAGAATTTCATTTATAGGTTAAGGACATCTTTTAAAACAACCAACAAGGGTTAAAACCTACCCCCCCCACCTTAGAAAATGTGATTCCCCATGAAATGCATCTTTGTATGTAGTAACATTAAAACTAACAATAATTGAAGACTAGTGCCATTAACTTAAACACTAAGAGAAGGGTGATCTCTATGATATCCATCAATAATATCCACAAATATGTATGAAAATCAAATGTTCAATTCTCTATAAAAAGCTCTACTGGAGATCTGAAGTTTGATGCACCTAAATAACAGCTGTGTGTTTGGGTGTCCAGTCTCTGATGACCATCGAGCTGGAGACACAATGACATGATAATGAGTAGAATCCTATATTTCAACTTGGCAATATTCCAAAGCCCATTGTTTCTTAATTTATGTTCTTTTGGAAAATTAAAACCTTGACAGGTTAGTTATTAAAATTCCAGGGACTTTGAGGTATTTTTTCTTCACCACAAGTAGAACCAAACAGCTGTGCTTCCCCCAGAAATCAAGACACCCAAGTTAAGTATTAACTTCTTGTTATATGTGTATTTTCTCTCTTAACCATGGAAAGTGGGGACTCAAAGTGAAGCAGTAAATAGATGGCCACCACCAGTAATCAAGATCCCGCTAAAATAGTTTCCAGTTAGGATTTTAAGTCTAACAAACTATTAAATTATAGAATAAATTAATGGAAAAATAAGATTAAATGTATTACAAACAGACTCCCAGACAGGTAATATAATCATATTTTCTTATCTCAAATAATATTTGTTATTTCCTACAAAACTATTCTAAGGGAATGAGGGGGGCAGTGCTAGGCATCTTGAGTTTTTAAGAAAGGAACAAAAATAGAGTTGGTCCAACACTATACAGGTCCATGTGTGTGTACATCTCACCCATAAACACCAAGCTAGTCCCCATGATAGTCCATCACCATGGAATCTGAAGCCACTGGTTCAGTGCTTTCTAGAACTTTCAGTCTAGATAGAGAGTGGCATTAGCCCATAGCAACTGTGATGGATGGAACAGGTGTCTTTTCTCCTGTGCTGAAACCAGAGATGCTCCTAAAGCCACTCCAGGAGAGAGAGAAACTGGCTTAAGCTTTAACACTGAAGTTGGCTGCATCAAAAAATATGTTAACTATGCTGAAGGCTCATTCCTCACCTGTGGTAATGTTTTGTTTTCTCTATTGCCCCACCCCATTATTTATTTCTGTTTGTGTTGATTTCAGTAGGGCTTGCTTGTCCCCTTGTGTTGCAGAGCTGCATTTTCATTCACCTGCCTCAGCAGTTTAGCAGAGAAACCCTTTGATGCCTGTGTTCATTTGTTCTCAGCTGGTGAGTGAGCAACAAGAAAGCAGACCTCTCCTGAGCCCCTCCATCGATGACTTCCTCTGTGAAACCAAATCCGAGGCCATTGCAAAGCCAGTAACATCCAACACAGCCGGTAATTCACTTCTAACTATGCTCAAGTGGGATGCTTTTTACCTGTAAATGCATGTATCCACCCCCCACCCCCACCCACCCCCAGGCCCCAACCCCAACCCCCCACCCCACCCTACCCCTGCTGCCAGGCATTTTCCTAAAGAAGTTAGGGAGAGGTATGTTTATTTATTTGTAGGTGTGGACATTTGAATATTGAAATATTCCTATGGAGGTCAGAGGACAGCTCATGAGAGGTGATTCTATATGGATCACAGGGATTGAACTCAGATTGGCAGGATTGGCAGCAAGCACCTTTACCTGCTAAGCCATCTCACCAGCCCCTCCTCCAGGCCTTTTAAGTGGGGTGGGGGGATGATGCTTGCAACCAAGTGACTGGGCTGTATACAATTCAACATGAATTAATTAATAAATGGCTTTTGATTACACAAGAAACTACAGTGCCCATTGCCCAGATGGCTTTACTTCCCTTAAGTATACCACTGTTCTCACTCAGCTCGGTGCATACACTTCTTCATCTACCACTCTGCATTTCAGAATCCACCATGTTATAAAAGAAAGCTGCTATCTGGGAGTGAGAGTGTGTAAATTCAGCTTGATGGTCCACTTATTTTTGAGACTAGTTTGTGAAACAAAAGTCCAGCAAACTAAAAATGTTGCAGTAGTCTTCCTGAGTAGAGTTAAGTGATAATTAAAGTGCCCTGTAGGCATAGGATATTGTAGAACCATTTAATATGTCCCTTGGTGTCTCTTACAAATTACCTGAGCATTCTGATGTATACACACCCTTCCTGGAATCAAGCATTCTCAACAGAAACCCTCTTCTGCTCAGTGCATGGCATGGGTAGGCATGAGCATTCAGTCATCATCAATCTGAGGGAAGAGTGCCAGAGGCCTGTGGCCGGATCTACCCTAGGCTAACGGCTCCTTCCCACTTCTACCTGGTTCCTCCAGCACTCCCATTCAAACGTGTGCTCACCAAAGAATGAAGAAAGCGCGATGTTTTAGGATGGGAAGTCAGAGATTATAGTGAGACTGGATGGTGTCTCCAGTCTCCAGTCCAAAGAAGAGCCTGGTCTCACACTTCCTTCTTAAGTTAGCCCCACTTGTCCACAGTGACCTCCTCTGGCAAGTAACTTACTTTTTCACCAGTTGGAATCCTATGTGAAGAAAATCAGATAGGAAACAAAAGTGATTTTTTTTTCCAAATTACTATAGCTAAAATTTTCTACAGGAGGTGGAACTAATGCCAGATCATGGCAGCCCAGGTGGAAGAGTGGATAATCTGAAGGTTGGGAGATAAAAGCCTCCTGCATTCTCCTCACAGCTCTGCACTGTGGGGCCAGCCACCGTTTTCCCTCATCTATCCGGTAGCAAAGCATAGCCTCACTTTCCATATCTAAGAATAGGATGATCCTTACCTCGTCAATTACTGGAGAAGATGAATGAAGGCAGCTATGGCTGTGCTGACAGTGGTACACTCTAGCCGGGGAGGCCATACTGATTGATGTCAAGTGCATTCTTGATGTCACACCCAAGTTATTGTTTTCTAAATCCAACTGTCACTTGAAGTGCTTGGAAACCTAGGATGGTGCTTACTGCCTTCTAAAGGGGACATTAAAATGAATTCAGACCACCAGACCCTAACGTCTTAATCCCAAGATCTCAGCCCTCTGAAACTGGACAGCTATCCCAGAAAACACAGAGCCAGTGACTCTTCACTGTGAGCTATCCCACAAGGAAATCAGAGGCACTGAGGAAGCTCATTGTTGCTTTTCACTTCCTACTGATGAAGAAAGGAAGCAAGCACTCAGAAGCAGCCAACTCTGGGGGCTGGGAAGTGGTACAGTCAGTAAGCATAATAACCTGAGTTCAATTCCCAGGACTCATGTTTTAAAACAAATCAAGTAGGCATGGTAGCATGCACATATAATCCCCAGCACTGGGAAGCCTGGTACTGGAGGCCCCTGGGATTTGCTGGCCTGCAACAAGCTGAGAGAGCAGAGTCATGAATCTCTAATCTTCACATCAAGATGCTTGTCAGACACACTCCTGCATGCTCTTGAGAAGACATTTTTCCTATCTCTCTAACCCTAGCTATCGGTCCCTTAGGTGGGTCATACGACTCCAACGTTCATGTGGGATTTTGTGTGCAGGTAGCATTGAGCTCTCTGTCTGCACAACTACCTGTGTCCGAATTCCCCTTTTACATGATAATATATGCCATCCTGAGATTTTTTTTCCTGGCCACCTCTAGGTCAGCTTCCTCTTTAGTCACATTTCCAATGAGGTCACTTTCTGAAGTGTGGGGACTTCTACCTAGGAACAAGGGGTGAATCCCCATTCAATCCATAATGTAGTACTCTGAATCTCTTCTGTCATACTGTGATTTCCAATCATCCTGTGTTGGACACTTTGTTTTACAAGCTTATAAGTATATCTCAAGGCAAAAAATCGCTATATTTTTAAATCCCTAAAAAAATGTGGTTCTTATAAAAATCAATACAAAGTAAACAATGTAAGAAGTATTTTTCCAAAGTGATGAAATTGTTCTCTAACATTGAAAGAACATATCTTCAGCTTTATTGTTTAATGGGAGGAAAATAATTATGTATACATGATTTTCTTTTTCTGTGCTGAGAATTGAACCCAGGTTTCATACATGCTGAGCTGTTTTTCTAATCTTTTTTTTACTTTTTTATTTCTTGACGCACATTCTTACCAGTTGTTCAGGCTGGCCTTGAACTCACTCTGCATCCCAGGCAAATGGTGATCCACCTATTTCCCAAGTAGCTGAGATTACTGATTGTGGCATCAGACCCAACAAAACTGTTGATTTAAAAAGGCAAATGAGTAGATATTATACACAGGCTAATAATAATAAATGTCCTGAATATCACTGAACAACAGATACTTTAAATGATTAGATTGTCATACATATAGCACGTATGACAAAACTTACAATATATTGTTGTATAATTTAATAAATATAAATATGTTAAAAACACAGGACGGATTCTTTGTCAGAGATCAATAAAGAAGTGGGGGTCCTTGCTATGGTTTATGAAGCTAGGGAGAGGTTGAGTCATTAGACCAACAGTTTGAAAGGAACAATTTTTTATGATTTTTTTTAATCACACTCTTTTATTTACAACTAATGTACCTATTTTTGGACTTCTGTACATAATCCACATGATAAAATATCTTATCTAAAATATTATCATCAGATTTATAGGAAACATATTTTTTATTAAAGTGGCTATGAAGCTAGCTTAGAAATCTGGGGAGCAGGGACTGGAGAAATGGCTCAATTGTTAAAGTGTTTGCCAGGCAAGCTAGAGTGAAGGCCAGAGCCCAGATCCTCTGGTGTGGAAGCAGGGCATCCAGAACAGGCAACCTAGCAAGACTGTGTCGGCAATCTCTGGCTTTCAGAGACCCTTCCTCAGTGAATACGGTGGAAAAGCAATGGAAAGGGATTCCTGGTATTAACGTAGGGTATCTGGATATATCCACACATACAGAGCATGCACACTCAACATAGACAAACACAGGCACACATATGCAGAGCATGCATACATGTTGGGTGATATTTTGTTTGTGTTCTGACAAATAAGGCTTGCTTTCAGTCAGAGGACAGAGCTAGCCATTAGTTAACCATAGATTTCTGGAGGACTATACAGAGAGACAGGAAGTGATAAGACATGACAGAGAGAGGCTCTGAGCCCTTTTGGATGGAGGAACAAGAGAGGCAGGAAGCAACTGGCAGCTGCTCCCTGTTCTCTGATATTCCAGGTTCTTATCCCAATATTTGACTCCTGGTTTTTTGTTGATTAAAATTAATTAGATTTATGCTTCACATACACAACATATATGGGTACATACACACAAATGGAAAAGGAAAAATCTGAGTAAATTTAATTACATATTACAATAAAGAAAAAGTTGACTTAATGCATTAAATACAGTTTATCTATTTTGTAGATATATTTGAAAGTTTCTATGATTGCCTATCTAAATTATGCTTCCTTACACACCATGTTAAAAACAGTCTGTCTTCCACCAACTTGCCAAATTAAGAATTCTTTGTTTCTTTGGACAAGGTCTCATTATTTGTCACAGGCTACCTAGTACTCCCAGATATGCCTGTCCCTGCCTTCTTGGTGCTAGGATTAAAGGCAGGTGCCACCACACTGACCTCAAACAATACTTCTTACTAGATGCTAATCTGCTCTGCTTTGAGCAGCCCGACTTCCCAGAGCTCTAGGAGACTAGTCTTTCTAGAGGTTTGCCGTGGCCTGGAAGGGCCTTCTGGGTTCCTAGGTTATCAATCTCAGGTGTGCTTGAGACAGCTACAAACTGCTGCCCCCACATGCATTGTCTTCCATTGTCAGGAAATGTTATCCAGTGGAATTTGATTATTCAAAACGCACAGTTTCTTAGACTTCCACCATGCCTCAAACTTTGCAAAATGCCAAGTAACCAGGCACAGAGAGCCACCACATTAATAGTCTACACACTGCGTCCATGCTCAGGTGAAGTCTAGATAGGCTTAAATGGCATGCCTCTATTTGAGTCTCAGCGGGGACACTGGCACATCAACTGCATTGTATTCCTATTGCTACATAACATGACACCACATATATTGTGTCCTGAAACACCATGAGTCTGTATTTTAAACTTGTGGAAGTGGGAAGTCCTCTAATCAGGATGCCACAAGCAACTGACTCTTCTACAGATTATAGAAGTTTGTCTACTACTTGCCCCCCCCACTTTAGAGGTAACATACAATTTGCTGGCTCACACTTTCTTCTTCTGTCATCAAAGCAGCTTGTATTTCAGATTCATCTTCATGTCCCCTTTTCAGACTCTGACCCTCTTAGATTGTCCCTACAAGGACACAGAGGCACTGGGACCCACCACCTGTGGCTGGTGTGTGGTGACTGACAGGAGTCTGGGTAGAAAAGGCTGCAAATGTAAAGCTAAAGTACTCAGAAGATATTTCCTTGGCCTTGCACATGGATGTGTATACACACATGCACACTCTGACACATGCTATTGAAAGCCAATGATCCTTGTACTCTTACGGTACACACAAAAGCACAGGGGCCCGAACCTTCATGCAGCTAGGAGAATGCTTTCAGTTTGATCTAGAAGTGAAGGAAGCACCCAGTCTTGTGTGCCCAGGCATGCCCACCTGGAAGCACTGGAGGAACTGTGAGCCCTTGATTTAAGCCTCAAGTAAGGCATACAACTATGCATAACAACATGCTGTCTCCTCCAGGTGTCAAAGGCTGTTGCAATTGTCACCCTAGGGGACTCCCAGCTTCAGAGCCATTTGACACTCAGTAGGGTCTCCATGTATATATAGCATGCTCCAGCTTCACATTTACAGAAAAAAAAATAATGATGGCATGGAGAACAAACACAGAAAGGGCCCAGGATGCTTCAAAGTGAACAGGTATGACTGGCCAGCGTGAGTTTTCAGTTCACTCATTCAGAAGCAGATAGAGATTAAATTAAACCCCACCAGCTACTGTTTTGTAGCAAATGTACTTTCAATCCACAAGTTCACAATTCCTAGAAATTTTGCTTCTAAAAGAAGTCTAGAAGCAAGAGGCTAATTCTTAAATGTTTGTACAATGGAAAAAGGTGTATGGATTATTCCTTCCATCATAAGGAAGTTTCAATGGCCTGGAGTCCTTGCTATCCCAATAGTGTCTAGAAATTTCATTTAACCACTCAGTAAATAGGAAGTGTATGGAGCCCTGTCTTGGCTGCCTACCAGGCTTAAATTTGGCTCAGAAAGCCAATTGACTTGGTTCTGGAAGCCTCTTTCCACCCACTTTGCTTCTGATTCATCAAGCACTCACTCCTCTCTCCAAGCAGCTTCTTGTTAGAAAGTGGCCCCTGTCTTCTCAAGAAAACTCAGCAACAACAAGCTGACACCTTTGGGCCATTCATGATAAATGCACTTCATAGACTCCTCTGTGGAGACAAAAACCCTTGTCTCTTGTTTTATCCTCAGGAACATTCCTTCTTTCTCTCTGTGTGTAGATTTGATTGTAGCTTAAAACAGAACAGAACGAGCAAGGTAACAGGAACACTAAATAAAAAAAGAGGGAATTGTTGCAATTTGGCCCTTCAAAAATAGAAAGAGAGAGAGAGAGAGAGAGAGAGAGAGAGAGAGAGAGAGAGAGAGAGTATGTGTACAGTGCTGGGGATAAGCCCAGGGGCTCATAAATGCCAGGCAAACTCTCCAGCACTATGCTGCCCCCTCCTCTGCCTGAAATAGCATTTACTGAGTGAGAATTTAGCCCAAGCCTGGCACTTTGTATCCATTGGACCAGTTACTCTTCATCCCATACTTATAAGACTATTGAGTCTCCATTTTCAGATACAGAAACCAGAGCTCAGGCTGTTCAAGAAGCTTCCCTCATGGCACATCAGATGCACATTGGTTAGGGACTCAAGTTTCAATCACACACCAGAGAATCCCTTGGAAAGGGCTAGCTCATGTACATGGGCAGGCAGGCTGTAGATGACTAAGGAAACCCCTCTTGTAGGCTCAGTGGATCCCTGGCCCTGACAAGGAGACAACCAAGTAGGAAGCAGATAGAATGGAATTGAGCAGTCAGTCATATTTCATATCTACCCAGAGGACAAGCTGAGATGTATTGGTACTTGTGATTGAGGAATGTGCTATAGTGGTTGCTCTAGACTGAGGGGAAGGTGAACACAAGCTATCTTCTACTCATTCTTGCCTTCTCTAAGTGGAGGGAAGAATTTAAGGAAGCCACCTGGCTTAATGTGCACTCAAACTCTCTAGCCCCCATTGAGGAAGAGCTGGAAGGAAAGAGACTGTGTCCCCTTTCAGTGTTCTGTTTCCCAGGTAGGGCTGGTTAAATATGAGTTGCCTATACTGGAAAGAAGAATAGGTTCGATGCTAGCCTTATTCATACTGATTTGTTTGGGTTTGCATAGGAACATACTGTTATTTCTGAGTTCATTGGAGTACTTAATACAATGAAATCAACCCACTAGGAAGTCAAAGATTAGCATACTAAATGTCAAGCAGCTAGCCCATGTCCCTGTCCATCAACTGCATTATAAAACCCCTCTCCGGTGAGACCCAGACAACATGTGATTTTATGACCAAACTGCCTAATTCAGTAAAAAACGTACATTAGATTTCATGAATTCTATGAGCATTGACCCTATTCTGGAAAAACCTTAATCTAAAACAAACCTTCCCTAGATATTAATCAGAACAATAGAGCAATAGCACCTAGACTGAGATTTGTTTTATTTTTGTCCTACACATTCTCACTGCAGAGGTGGGTCTAGGTAATTTTTGCCTGGGGTTAGCCTAAGGTAATGCAGCCAACTTCCCAACCTCACAGCCTGCCAGCTATCAGTGATGAGCCAGATTGGCTTGCTGCCTCTAATCCATCAACATAGGGGCTCTATGTACCCAACTGACACACCTATTTGGGAAAAAAAATCTACTGAGGACTAAAGAGCTACCTCAGTTGGTAAAGTGGTTGATTAGTAAAGACAGGGCTCTGGGTCCCATCCTCAGACACCACACTTAAAAAAAGAGAAAGAAAAGGAATGGTTATGGTAGTGTGATTCCAGCCCTGGGAAGGCAGAAATAGTTAGATCTTTGGGGTTCAAATGCCAGCTGGACTTGCCTATTTGTCCAGTTCTAGGCCAGTGTGAGACTTTGTCTCATAAAACAAAGTAGATAGCACCTAAGCACAATACCTAACCTACACACACACACACACACACACACACACACACACACACACACACACTTGAATAGCATGCATATATACACACAAACAGTCATACATACATGCACATAAATACAAAAATAAATTGGTAAATAATAACTGCAGGAAGTAAATAAATGGTTTCTTTAACTCTCTTCTGTCTCCCGTAGTATTGACCACTGGATTGGATCTCCTTGACTTGAGTGAACCTATCTCTCAAACCCAAACCAAAGCCAAGAAATCAGAGCCCTCATCAAAGAGCTCATCCCTTAAGAAGAAAGTTGATGGCTCTGATCTCATCAGTGCAGATGCTGAGCAGAGGGCCCAGGCTCTCCGGGGCCCGGAGACATCATCCTTAGACTTAGGTAAGGCAAAGGTTTGCAGAAGCTATAGTTTAACTTTGGCTTGTCAGTACTGATATGACAGTCATGTTCAAAATGACTTTCAAAGCATGAACATGAGAATGGGGAAGACAAAGTTCTTCCAGGGAACTGAGAAGAGTGTGCCTTCTTTTATGCTTGGACTGAGTAGCCATAGGAATACAGCTTTATAAAGGTGATGTTGATCCATTCACTTATGTGTTTCTCCCAATGGGCTGATCTTGTGATGGACTCCAGGCATCCCAGGATCTGAGATTACAGGAAAATGTGCGCCTTACTCTCTAGGGACTCTCCAAGAACAAAAGAGAAGCAAGGGGAACAAATAAGAGCATCACAGGACTTGGGGTCATCCAGACAAAACAGTCCTAAAATAATATCCAGAATGATGGTGATACCCTTAGTACCCTTTGCTGTTGGCATGCCATAGCCAGGAACTACACTGCATCACTTACATGGTTTATCTTGCTATTACAACTCTGAAATATGTTAAAACTGGGTTTAAAATTGTCTTAGATCTTACTGCTAATAAGAGAAAGAGCTGGAAATGTGCATTTGACCCCAGTCAACTTCCAAACTCAACTTTTATCTATACACTCTATATTCCTGAAAAAGAACAGTGTGTGTGTGTGTGTGTGTGTGTGTGTGTGTGTGTGCCTCTGTGTGTGGGTGGATACGTGTGCAAGTGTGTGCGTGCATCTTTGTGTCAGATAAATATAGATTCATAATGTGTGCTTCAACTGTAAAAGCAATGAGTTTATTTTAATAAGCCTTGTTTTTCTGCCTATGTTTTGATTCATTTTCATGCACCTTTAAAAAGATAAATGTTGGCCTTGGATCTTGAGAGCATGGATTGTGTATAGTTTGCCTTGAGTCTCAATCCTAATTGATCTCTTTTCTGTGTACACCCTCATGCTTGACCCTGGGCTTTCTCTTCCACTTTCTTCTTCCTTAGTAGACATTCAAACACAACTAGAAAAATGGGATGATGTCAAGTTTCATGGTGAACGAACCAGCAAGGGACATCTCATGGCTGAAAGGAAGTCATGCTCATCTAGAGCTGGATCCAAAGAGCTCCTGTGGTAAGATGTCCTGATTCCAAAGAATAGCAGCTACCACTGACTGTACAGGTGTGGCCTTGGTGTCTGGAAATGGCCAGTGAGCTCAGTTAATCCAGATATCCCAGACCCTGAACAGTAACCCTTCTATACATTATCACTTCCATAAATTACTTTAACTACATTGTAAAAAATAAATAAATAAATAAATAATGAAGAAAACTTAGAAAGGGTTTGAGAAGGTCCTAGTTCTTAATAATTTTCTAAACATGTAGTTGAAGTACATGTATTCATGTTTGTGTGTGCATGCGTGCATGAGTGCATGCCTGTGTGCATGTGTGATATATCATTGCACCAATGGTAGTCAGTCGTTTCTAGTCACACAGCTTTCCTTCTCTCTCCATCATCCACTGCCTTCGGTGTAGTAATTACAGATGAATCATGGACACTCGGGAAACAATGTGGCCACTTGAATTTTACCAGATGGATTAGTGACTTTCCTGTTGCTGTTATAAGACACTATGAACAAAGCAACTCAGGAAGGGAAGAGTTTAGTTCAATTCTCAGGTCAGTGTCTGTCACAGGGGAGTTAAGACAGGAACAGAAGCAGAGATGACAGGGGAACACAGTACTGGCTTGCTCTCAGCCTTGTCTCAGCTTGCTTTCCTATACAACCCAGGACCACCTTCCCATGGGTGGCGCCGCCCACAGTGGACTAGGTCCTCTCCAGACATGCTCGCAGGCTAATCTGATAGAGGCAATTCCTCAGCTGAGGGTCCCTTTTCCCAGGGGACTGTAGGTTGTGTCAAGTTTAGGAAAACTAACCAGAACTTTGTGTTTTTAAAGATTTGAAAAGGGCAGCTTCCTATTTCTGTCTCCTTTGCCCTCATACATATCTCCATTTTGTGACTGTCTGGATGCGTAGAGATCTACCTTGTGAATAGTTTCCAACAAGAACACTATATTCATAGATTATGGGATTTCCTATATGAAAAATGGCATTGTGTTAATTTCCTCTTTGCCCATGTTCATCTGGATTCTAAATTTAAAGGTCTAGCTAGCAGGGAGTCCATAGCTGTTTAAATTAGGGGAGTGACAATTATGAAGAAAACTCACACAAATTCACTTCTGTCTGAACTCTGCCCAGAGCCTGGTTCCTGCTGGAGTTTTGGCCAAGCTTGTTCTTGCTGCACACAAATGTCCTCAATGTCTCATTGCAGGTCCTCAGAACATAGATCTCAGCCAGAACTGAGCACTGGGAAAAGTGCCCTAAACTCCGAGTCAGCTTCCGAGTTGGAACTTGTGGCTCCAGCACAGGTAACAAAAGCAAGTCTTTGGAAAACTGTCTGCTCTAGAAGGAATTGCATTGTAAATGTTTTATTTAACTTTGTACAGAAAGTTTGAAGTGTTTTTCCAAACTTTGCATTGCAAAGTGTGTTCTCACTCCATAGCTGTCTTGGTGCTTAGAATAACGGGTTGTGTACACTTCCATGTATTTGGCTGGAAAATGTGTTAATGAATTCACTGTGTACTTAGCACATTTTCCTTCTGCTGCCATTGACTGTCCCATTATTTGGCAATACAAAAATCTGTTCTAGTCCAGTATTAGCACTACTTATGTAACAGAACACAAAGAGGAAATTACACCCTGCGTGTTCATTCACATCTGTGCCCTGTAGAGTAAGAGCCTATACCCAGTATTCTGTCACATTAAAATAAATTTTATGCCAAGAATTATTTTATTCTAACACCAGCAGTAATGGTAACCATAATGAGAGCTACCACTGTGAGTGCCCAGCAGGGAGAGCCATGGACTTACTGAGTGCTTTATATGTGTTATATCCCATACTCATTAATCTTGTGCACCGCTGTAAGACTCTTCTCACAGGAGCCTGCCAGTCTCAGTAAAGTCAACCATGTCTTGCTCAGATACAATAGCAGGAGGAAGTAGAATGTGAATCCTGCCTCACTGTCCTAGGCCCAAGGCTCCTCAGTAGGCTTCATCATGGCTGCTTACCTCTCCTATCTCTCCAGTGGTTCTGAGAGAGGCAATGGCAGTCTCTGTGTCCCTTGGACATGTTTTAAGGCCTTGACCTTCAACCACAAAGATCTCCTAGGAACTGTGTGTGCATAGCTCTGACTCCTACATTCCAATTGCAGTAAGACTAAATATGGAAGGAAGTGAGCAGAAGAAATGTCTTGGTCTCGCCACATCACAGGTTGTGACCCAGAGAGGGGATGTAGATCTGAAGTGAAATAAGGGAATAAATGGGGCTGGAGCATTAAGCCAGCAGTAAGAGCACACACTGTGCTTACAGAGAACCAAAGTTCAGTTCCAGGGACCCATGTTGGACAGCTCACAACATGGAATCGGGAAGACATGATCTGGGGATTCAACTCCCTCTCTGACACAGGCACCCCACATGCATGCACATCTTCACATAAATAAAAATAAAATAAGTATTTTCTAAGATAAATGGATAATTATTATAGCAGTGTGTATTATGGCTGACTATAAGAATTTCTAATATAAATTAGCTGATTTGGTTCTGACAAAAGGCAAAACAAGCTAAGCGTTGCCTTTGCCCCCTTGTACAAGCAGGGAAACCATGAAATGTAGAAAGTACAAAAGAGAAGAAACCAGAAATCCAGTGGTGATGGGACTCTGGGAACTCCCTAAGTCACTAGCATTCTCCCTGAACATTTATCACCAGCAGCAGAAAGGACATGGCTGTTCCCAGACCACAGCTAGATATCCGGTCAACTCCCTTCCTGAACACATCACCCCCACAGACTTTAATGAATTGGAAATGTAGCATGAAAAATGAATTTTTGGTGCTCATTTTAAATGTGTCTTCTTCAGAAAAAGATGACAACATCTATTAGAAAAGCAGTATTCCGAAGTGCAGGAGTGAGCACCACTCAGCTTGAGTAATTGGTGTTGCTTCCTGTCTCATCTGCTGCTGTCCGTGGAACAGTGAAATGGAGTGACAACGCATTTGTTTTAAAGCAGGGAGAGACTTGGCACAGGTGGGCCATTCTACAACAAGCTGGGCAGAGGAACAACTGGGGCCCCCAGTTGCCATAGAAACCCACAATGTATTTATCTTATTATCCCAATGACTACTAGTCTCCTACTGGTACCTTAATTCCATCCCACCACACTGCCCTGCTTTCCCTAAGCAAACACAGTGCACTTTGGAAAGTGGCTTTCCGCTTCCTCATGGTGTCTTACAAAATATACCTTCCAATGTGCCTTGAGATTTCTTTGCCCAGATGTGTCTTAAACAGTCCTCCGAGATACTGAATCATCTGTATGAGAGTTACTCCTCTGTTACATTTTTAGACACTGTATGTTTACTTTTGAAGACTTGCCTACAAAAAATTATACTCTTCTAGTTTTTACTTCATTCATAGCAAATTAAGAAATGCTCATGAAATACCGGCTTACTGCTATACCTGAAACACAGTCATTGAAACAAAGCAAATATGTGTTATGAAAACAAGGAGAGCTTGCTGGGAGATGGCTCATCAAAGCACTTGTTTTGTAAGAAAGAGACCTGGGGGAAAAGAAAGAGAAAAAAAAAAAAAAAAGCAACCTGGCATGATGGCACATCCTTACAATCCAGCACAGGAGAAGTTGAAATAGGAGGATCCCTGAGGCTCACTGGTCATTCAGCCTAGCCTAGCTAATGAGTAGCAGGCTAATGAGAGAATGTACCTCAAAGAACAAGGTGGGTGGAACCTGAGGGATGATACTTGAAGTGGACCTCCAGCCTCTACAATCACATGCACATACTTGCACACACATGTGTGCATGTACACGCAAGATCGCGCGTGCACACACACACACACACACTTAAGATGTTTTTACTACCACTGCATAGCTTCTTTGTGTAGATACAGTAGAATTATAATGAAGATAGAGGCACATTTCATATAAAGACTGACACATAATTTGGCTCACTCAAGCCTGTTCCGTGCTCACCCAGGTGGTTCACAGGAAAACCAGGGACATAGTTTCCTCTCCCTCAAGCCAACATAAATTATCCCAGGCAGTGACTCAACAGGTGCGAAGCTATTTACAAACCTCATTTAAAAATCATATTTCAGAATCACAAAGAAAATGGGAACACATAATATGAAAACTTATGGTTTCTCATTTTCTTTTCTAAATGGGGAGGAAAGTGTGGTATAGTCTCAAATGGTGCCTTGAATAGAAAACTCAGAGAAGCAAGTGAGTACAATGAGTTACATAATCTCTGTGTACTTACAGACATAGATTCTTGACACTTAACACAAACTATATAGTTACCATTCCATAAACTTAACTGTTTAAATGGATCATAGATCTGAAAAAATATTTTCAGAAAACATTTGAATAAAATGAGCTGAATAAAATACAAAAGGCTGAAAATTTCACTTTTCTTATCTTGGGGTAAAGTATCACTGGGTGAGGCAAAGGGAGAGAGTGCAGCTTCTTCTGTAGTCGTGGTCCAGACATCTCCTTCCCCATTTGCACACTGGAAGCTCCACAATGGATTCAGGCCTCAGATTCACCACAATGAGCTGCAGGAGGCACTCCAGATGTAGGTCGTAGTGACGTGACTCGTGGATGACCAACTCCAGCTGAGCAGAGGTTTTCCAGGGGTCATCACTGCCCTTCATAGTTCCTCATGTACTATGTGAAATGACCACTGTAAACTTAGGTTTTTCATATTATCCCCGTTTTGCATTAAAAAGTAAAAGCCAAAATTGCACATCTAAGGAACTGAAAAGTCAGGATTCAAGTTATACCCATTAAAGTCTATGAAGTCCTTGTTCTTCACCCCAGGGGGCCCCTGGTGTCAGCCACCAAGCCCTGCTCACAAGAGAGAACCCATGAGCTATTGTTATTCTTACTATCACAAAGCTGGATAGCTATTTAATTCTGTTGGGTTAACATGAGTTGAATAATGTTCAAGAATGTCTTTTGCTTTCTTATAGAAACATCCTAAGTTAATTAGGATTTTCATACAATGTGTTCTGTCTATAATTAATTCTTCCCCTAAATTCATCACCTTACTTTTAGAAAGGCTGTTGGCTTCTAACTCATTTCAACACACACACTTGGCTATCCACTGTCCTTACAGACATAAGTGAGGCAGTAAGCTGCTGCATACATGGGTCAGGTTATAAGATATGTTTAGAGGAATCCAAGTCACTGTGCCACAGAGATCCTGCCCACCAATGTTATTGAAGGATTACTCACTGCAGCCAGTATAAATGGGATATTTATACAATTCTTACAGAGACTCTGTGAGTAAATATAGACTCTCAAGATGAGAATTTAGGAATTCAGTATTTAGTCTAAGGTGTCTGCTTTTAATAATCACATCACACTGCACCCAAGGTCAAACAGTCATTATATTATTTTCTAAAGTATGTACCTTCCTTTTCCTTCTTTATTTTAACAGTTTCCTAATTTTATTTCTGCTGCTGTGATAAAATACCCCACAACAAGCAACTCTGTGTAGAAAGAGATTTATCTGGTTAACAGTTCCCAGTTGTGGTCTATCATTGAAGGAAGTCAGAACAGGAATCTGGTGCAGCTAATCACATCATAGCTACTGTCGAGATCAGAAAGAACAGAATGAATGCATCCTTCCTTACCTACAGGCTTACTGTAGCTAGCTTTCTCCTCCCATACTGTTTTGGGACCCCTACCTAGGCAATGATGCTGCCCATAATGGGCTGGGTCTTTCTACATCATTTAACATAATCAGAAAAATTCCCTAGTGCTCTACACCCAATCTACACCCAAGTTGTTTTTGTTTGCTTTGTTTCTTTTTTTTTTTTTTTTTTTTTTTTTTTTTTGGTCTACTTGACGTAAGCTAGAATTATCTGAGAAAAGAAACCTGAAGGCAAATCTGTAGGGTACTTTCTTGATTAATGATTGACATGGGAGCAACCAGCCCACCATGGGCAGATGGTTTTAACTTGTATGAGAAAGCAGGCTGAGCAAGTCAGGGAGAGCAAGCCAATAAGCAGTGTTCCTCGTTGGCTTCTACTTTGGTTCCTGCCTCCAGGTCCCTGCCTTGAGTTCCTGGCATGACTTCCATCAACAGTGGAAGTGTGACCTCAGCATCCTAGTATGAAATAGACCCTTCTCTCCCTAAATTATTTCTGGTCATGGTATGTTAACACAGAAATAGAAGAGTAACTATGATTGCAAGCTGTGTCAAGTTGACAGCAAATGTCATACATTCTTATCACATGCTTACAAACTTGAGATTTACCGACACCCACAGAACATACATGTAGGTCCAGGGTTCTCTTTGCGGTGCTAAGTGTCACCCTCGGATAATCTGAGGACATGTGGAGATGCAGATTTGAGGTTCCTCACAAGACTCACCAGAGACTCTGGGATTAGGGCCCCAGTGACCTGAATTTTAAAAGACCTTCTCGGTATTTCAGTGCTCAAGCACGTTTGAGAATGACAGCTCTATGATGTTAAGATGGCTGCCACTCATACTGATGGATGTCTCATTTTGTTTAGCATACCTCTGTCAATGTGCCAAACAATATCAACAATCCACAAGCACTAATAGAGTTTCCCAAGTCCACAGGTTTTTTTTTTCCTCTGATAAAATTAGATATTTTTTAATGTCTTGGCTTCAGGGAAGGCTATTTTAGCCATGTGTGTTATCATGCTGTGCTCTACTTATTTTATTTTATTTTATGTATGTGTTTTGCCTTCATGTATGTATATATGTCACATGTGTGCCGGTGCCCAAGAAAGTCAGAAGAAGGTATCAGATCCCCTGGAACTAGAGTTATAGATCACTATGACCCACCAGGTGGGCGCTGGGAATTGAATCTAGGTCCTCTGGAAGAACAACAGAGCTCTTAACCCTTGAGCCATCTCTCAAGTCCCTAGGCTCAGTTTTAACCAGCATGTTTCAGTATAGCACTAAAGCTTAGAAAAGTTGCATATCAACTGCTATTTATATTCCATAACATTTAACTTACCCCTCCTTAGGCTAAAACCTTCAAAAAAAATGATAAGTTAGCTAGCACTTATCTTAGTAATAACCGAAAGCCTTTCAGATGTTGCGAGAAATAGAGTATCCCTAAATAGAATAAAATGTCATTTGCACAGAGAGGCTCTATCTGTGCTTGCTGTGTTAGGTGGGAAAGGAGAGCTGGCCTGGAACCCTGAGCTCCTGATATGTGAGCCCTTTGTAGCCTGTGATTCATAACACAGTTGAAACATTAATAGAGAGAGAGGCCAGGGATGCTAATAGAGTCCTGTTAGGTCAAGCTTCCCAGCAAAACAGGGCTCTTTTCACCAGTGCAAAGAGCCTGGTGATTAAACATTGACTCTGACAACAATCTTGGTGCTTCTTGTGATTTTCTAATGCCACTCATAGGTCATTCATGACACCTAAGATGCATCAAATGTATCTGTTATTATGTCTTATTTGACCAATAAAAGTATATTCTTATCACATATAATGTTGTGAAATATGTGTGCATGGCAAGTTGGCTTAACCTGATTACTATCTATTACCTCACACCCTTTGGGGTTTTTTTGAAAGAACACTTAAAATTGCCTCAATGCTTCTCAAGGACACAATACATTGTTAGCTGTAATCATCAAATTCTACCCTGGATTTTATACCCTTTGGCCAACAGAGTGCCACCTTTTCTCCAGCCCCAGTCCTGGCCACCACCATGCTCTGCCCCTCTGTGAGTTCAGCTGGTTTAGACAGCACATTTTAGTTTGAATATACCTAACATTCTGTGCTGGGTTTATTTCACTTCCTATGATATGCTCCATTTCCAACAAGTCACAAATGTCACTACCTTCTTCTTGAGGACTTCAGTGTTCCACATGGCATGCATGTTAGGCCATCATCTAGTAGGCAGCATTTTCCATTTCTTCTCTCCTGTGCCTCATGCCATATTGACACATAATGAGTGACGAGGCCTCTTGATGTAATGGTCTCACTTCCTTGCATTCACATGGTAGGTTTAGTTTTGATTTTCTGAGGTCATTCCATACTGTTTCCACAACAATACGAATCTACCTTCCTACCGATAGTGTGTAAGAGCCTACTCCCCCCCCCCAATCTTCTTTAACATTCTTTTGACCTTTTTGTGATGCCAACTGTGGCTTTCATTGTCATTTCCTATTTTTTATAAGCCTGTTGGTAATTTGCATTTCTTCTTCCAGGGACTGTCTCACAATTGGCCAGTTTTAACATGGCTATGTTTTCTTGCTAGTCACTCATTGGCTTTCCTTATATTTCCAAAACTGGTCATCTGAGAGAAGAGGTAACCTCAGCTGAGGAATTGCCTCCTTCAGATGGGCTTGTAGGCAATCCCGTGAAACATATTTAAAATTAGTGATTGATGTGTGAGGATCCAGCCCACCATTGATGGTGCCAGCTCTTGGAAGGTGGCTGTGGGTTGTATAAGAAAGCAGGCTAATAGACCTTACTCCAAATGACTTGACAGATTTTGATGATCCCTCCCGGAAGGCATCACTCTCCTTCTGCAATGGTGAGAGGGATTGAAGAGGGGGGACTGGGGGCATGGGAGGGAGGGAGGGGGAAGGAACTGGAATCGATATATAAAATAAGAAAAAGAAAAAAGAAGGAAAGAAAGGAAGAAAGAAAGAAAGAAAGAAGGAAAGGAAGGAAGGAAGGAAGGAAGGAAGGAAGGAAGGAAGGAAGGAAGGAAGAAAGAAAGAAAGCTAAGTAAGCAAGCCAGAAAGGAGTGTTCCCCATGGCCTCTGCTTCAGTTCCTGCCTCCAGGTTCCTGCTTTGAGTTCCTGCCCCTGTCTTCCCTTGATGACAGACTGAAGCCTGAAAGATGCAATAAACCCTTTCCTCCCTTCAGACAGTGTTTCATCATAGCAACCAAAAGAAAACTAGGACATGGTCTTTTCACATGCAGTACAATTTAGTGTTTTAAAAATAGTTACATGCGGATATCGATAAATTTTAAAGAGTTGCCTTGAATCTACAGACTCCTTTATGTTATATAGACATTTAACAAAAATTATTAATTTTTCCAACTCCAGAGCCCTCAACTTACTTGCTAGCATATAAATAAATAACTTTGTGAAATGACCCAATCATTCAATTCTTGCCATATGTATACATTTTGAAGAATTGCTTTAACTTGTCAGTGAAGGGACTAGCAGAAAGAGGAAGGAGTTGGCACCAGAAGCAAGGCCGTTCTGAGCAGAGCTCCCAAAGCTGCATGTCAGACAATTAATCAAGTCACACACAAGACAGCTCAGCCGTCTGTGAACAGCCCACCTGGCCTTCACAGTTAGCTTCTCTCCCAGGCAACAAGACTCCGACTACCTGGTTCCTTAAGAAATTGTAAATCACCTTCATTTTTATATTTTTACTTGTATTCTTTCTTTCTTTTCTTTTTGAGATATGGTTTACCTGTATAGCCCTGGCTGTTCTGGAACTCACTCTATAGACCAGACTGGCCTCAAACTGTATATCCACCTGCCTCTGCCTCCCAAGTGCTAGGATTAAAGGCATACACCACCACCATGTGGCTTACTCATTTATTTTTAACTATGTGTGTACATGTTTTCTGCATGCCTGTATGTGCACATGAGTACAGGTGCCTATAGATGCCAGAGGTGTCAAATCTCCCTGGAATGGAAGTTACAGGCTGTTCTGAGCTGCCTGATGAGAGATTATGGGAATCAAACTCAAGTTTTCTATAAGAGCAGAGCAGTGTGCTCTATTAGCTTATGAGACATCTCTCCAAAACTTGTATTTGTATATCCTTGTTAATAAAATACATTCTGCCCAAAAAGTGTCCTATGAGAGTAGTAGTGAATGGAATCTTCAAAAAAGATGTTATCATAGTCCTAGAGCCTATGAATATCACTCTGCACAGAGAAGACAGGGCTGAATGGGTGGTCTGGAGAGAAGGAGAATTTCCTGTGATGTTTGGGAGATCCCTGATCACAATCCCAGGCACCTTTTAAGAATGAAGCAGAAAAAGGAAGGACTGAGAGAATGAGGCAGCATGACCATAACCCACCTGAAGCCCCATTTTCAGGAAGGGGCGTGGACCAGACCTCCCCAGGGGGTGCAGAGAGAGCAGGCCTGCCACCACTGTGACTATGAACTAGCAGTCTCCAGAGCATTGAGTGGCTAGATTTCTTTTGTGTTAAACCACTCAATTTGTGAAAACACATTTTCCTGCCCTAGAACAGAAAATTCCCTAATGTAATACAATGAAATTAAGCAATGCCAGCTTGCCTTTCATAAGAAGAACTGGATTTCTTCTCAGTCTCCTGGACAGTGATTGGGAAGCTGTTCAGTGGCTCAGAGTTCACACCGGGCCTGAGACTATTGCACAAGAATCCATATGCAGACACACACACATTTGACTGGATGACTTTGTGCCTGAAAAATACTTTGAAAACATTTTTCAAGGCACTGGGGAGATGGCTTGGTCAGTAAAATGCTTTCTGAGTTTAGTCCCCAGCATTCACTTGGAAAGTCAGGCCTAGTGGTACACACTTGTAATCCCAGCACTGGAGACGAGGAGAGAGGAGGGCTGTTGGAGATCACTGGCTAGAAAGAGTGGGCTAAGAGAGCTCCAGATCCCAGGAAGACAGCCTGTCTCAAACAATAAAATGGATGATGCCTAAGGAATGCTACCACAGGCTGACCTATGTCTTCTGCGTGCACACTCAAAAACACATATACAGATACACACATACATACTTACCTGAGTGTGCACCTGCACAGGAAATCCTCTGCAACTCTAGAGAAGCAAGGTGAGAAGAAGAAAACTACTTCTGGTTTTGTGCCACACAATGCCAATAATATACCACCCGTTTGCTTTATTTCAGGCTCGGCTCACCAAAGAGCATCGCTGGGGGAGTGCTCTGCTCTCCAGGAACCATTCCTTAGAAGAGGAGTTTGAAAGAGCAAAAGCAGCAGTAGAGGTAACTCTTAAAACAAGAACTCTCCTTTGCAAGCTTCTGATGGTGGCATTCAAAAAATAAAATCAAACCATAGAGACATGCACGTGAGATGGAACTGTGGGCATGAGAAAAACAGGAGGAAAGTTGTTGAGATGAGAGTGTGACTGAAGAGCCTTTGATTCCCCACCAGGATGCAGGGAAATGTCTGCTCATCTACAGTTCTCTGATCAATTGGCTATGGGAGTGTGAAGCTTGGATCAGAAAGCACTCAGAGGCTAGCCTGGGTTCCCTGGATTTTCCAATGGATAACCCATTTTATCCAGCACCGTTCATTCTTAGTACTGTATCCAAATGTTAATGAGTTAAAAAAAAAAAAAACTTTATCTGAACACTAAGGAAAGGGAGGGGAAAGAGAAGAAAGGCCAATGGAAAGAAGAAACAGATGAAAAGCAGTTCTTGAAGGTTCCTTTACCTGTTTCCATCCTGGCAGGACGGGCAGGGTGACTCGCAAATGTTGGGTGCTCATCAAGCTTTCTTAGACTGCTGTTTGAGAATGGAGCTTTTTCAGACCCAGGCATGATCCTGCTAATACCTCTGTTGCCATTGGTGATTTCAATCTTGAAAACTGCAGGCACTCTTGGAATATGCCTCACTTAAGTAGGCTTTTCGCCCCTAGAATTCAGATGAAATGATTATATTAAGGGTGGTCTTCCAGTAACTCTGTACTCAGGGTGTGGGGAAATCCTATTTGCAATTTAATGTTACCAGGTTCTGTTCTGGGAAATCATCTCGGCCATGATTCATAGTATGCAGAAACCCAGTAAGAGCACACTTTTATCTCCCTACACCAAAATCATTCAGATTACCTCTTTAATTTTAAACTTCTCTAATTTAAAAAAAAAAAAGCTAATGAATATTTTAGTGTTCTGAGCAGAAGCCACTGATGTGGTTAGTCAAGACCAGCCGAGTTCAATCAGATTGCTCAAATGCACAGAGCTTGTAGCTTAAATTATCTTGAATGTAAGCTTTTCAGTTTTAAGAGCTAATTTAAATATGCCTATTGAGCCCCTACTGTGTGTGGCACACAGCAGTAGCTCTCAGACTACTATTTAGATGCATAGAATCTTGGGTCAAGAAAGAAATTGACATTTGGTTTTATTTGTAATGAGAAAGATAATGAATTTAAACCCAAAAGACTCCATGGTGGAATTGATTGACAAGGAAAATGGACTTAGGTACTTATTCATTGTATTGAATCTGAGTTTGGGTCATAATTTAAAGACCCCTCCATCCTACTAGGAAAACGTTTTTATTAATTCTTGACAAATTACTCCTGTTTCTACCTGGGCAAATACAATTAGGGGCAATCTCACTCTTTTCAAGAAACCCATTTCCATCTTGAAAGCTACTAATTACCAACAGGCTATTGCTTATAATGAAAATGACATAACAGAAGGTTTCCATGTTGCCCAGTCTCGACTTTCCCCCCTCTATCCATCTCACTCCACCAAGCTGTGTCTTCTACCTTCCCTGCCTCTCCTGAGGTCTTGGTCCCTATTCCAATGCATCCCTAACAGCTACAGGACACTGTCAGTAACCAGTCTAGACCTCAGTGCCCAACCTCTGCAGTTCTGTATCACAGATCCCAGGAGTCTGTAGGTTACTTTAAAAGATATTCATTTAGCATACATTCCTAGCTGCCAGTGGGGGTCCTCTTTCTCTCTCAGGCCATTGGTCACCAGGTCTAAAGGGGAAAGAGGAAGAAGGGGAGACAGAAACCTTTGTGTGCGACACATGAGCACAAACGGAGACAGCCCTCTGGGACACAAATTTCAATGACTCGGCATGACATTATTCCAGAGTATAAGGACTATATAGTGTTGGGAGCCTGGGGACAAACCTAGTTTGTCCATCACAAGGCAGAAGGGTCCTATAGCAGAGCTCCTAGCACACGTTTTCTTAGCAGGGAACTGTGCCACAGGTCAAGCTAAAGATGAATCAGTCATCTGGCTTAGAGACAGCTTTAGGTAAGGTCAGCCCTCCAGGCCCAGGGACATTCTCCAGATAAGGGCAGGAAGAGAGCAGAAGGCATTGCTGAAGGAAGGGAGGGAGTTTCCATGTTGCCAAGCTGTTGAAATACACTGCCAGGCAGGCTGACATCTCTAACCAAGCCAGCAATGTATTCCAACAGCTGCCTGAAAGTACTGGCTGCTTAACTAAGAACTAAAGACAAAAGACCCAGCTTTAAATAACTGCATGACAATATCAGGGAGCAGAGGACCAGCTTGAACCAGCCAGTTGCCCCTTCTGCTGGAGGTTCATGCCATCTGTGAGATGAGGACTTGGGTTCCTCCTAGACCCAAACCCAAAAAGTTCATTCCTTAAAATGAAAAGAGTAGTAGGGACAGGATTCCCAAATAATCAGAAAGGTGATCAACTTTTTTCAGCCTGGTGCTGAGACCTCTCCTTAAGGCCTGACAGAGCTCATAGGTACCAGAGGGATGAATAGTTGTGGAGAAAAAAATGGGGGGTGGGGGTCGGTTTACACTAAGTTGATGATAAATCATGCCTATAAAACTTAGTACATCTGTGAATTTTCTACTCCACACATCACTCTCAGAATATTATCTATATTCATGACAGAAGACACAATCTCATCACCTGGGGGGTGAGTTCAGTATATGAATCTTGGAAGAATGGCCAAACTGCAGAAGAGCATGTGTGTCCAAATGTTCACAGTGTGTATTCATGGATGGCTGCACTCAGGGACATCTGCATTTTTCTCTAACCTGTTATATTGCTAACGGGGGAGGCTTACAGTGAGGTGTAAGGTTCTTAACTACATTTTGACTTAGTGTGTGCTCATGCATGAGCAAATGTGGAGGTCACAGGACAGCTTGCCGAAGTCATGTTTATCTCCTTCCACCACGTGGACCTGGGATTGAATTCAGTTTGTCAGGTTTGGTGGCCAGTGCCTTTACCCACTGAGTCATCTCACTGACCCCAGATGTAAGAATCTTAAGGGAATCAGTTAGGGATATCAATTGGTAGAATGTCTGCCTTAGATTCAGGAGACCCTGGGTTCTATTTCCAGTACTTCATAGACCAAATGTGCTGATACACGCCCATAATTTCAGCAGGGAGGAGGCAGAGGCAGGAGAATCCAGAACTCAAGATCCTCCTCCAGTACATAGCATGCTGGAGAACCCAGTCTCAAGAGAAAAGGGTTCCTAAAAGACTAATTGTGAGTGAGGTCTGCTGGATTGGAAGAGCTTTGAGAGGATAATGGAGATATGAATATGGTCACAGCCCATTATACATGGGTGTGAAATTGTCAAAAATCAAAGGTAAAGCAAAACAAATCAAAGGAAAACTGGTGCTGCTGATTGTTTCTCCAAAGGCAGTTCTAAATACCAGTAAGATCCAGATGAAGGGGGCCAGAATATGTGGCTCAGTGGTTAAGGGAATGCACTGCACTTGTAGAGGACCTGAGTTCAGTTCCCAGCACCCACATTACCCTCTCCACCTGGTTCTTCACCTCTTGCTTCCTGTCTGTCTTCTGCCCTTCAGTCCCATCCCTCAGCTCTACCACACCATGTTCATTACCCATGCTTCTACTTTCTATTTTCTGTGGGCACATTCTTCTCCCAATCCTCATGCAGTGGGGTAGCTGAGGTGGCAGCACCCCCAGGAAAACCATGAAAGTCCCATTAACTGTTACATTACCAGGGATATCCCTGCTTTGTATTCATCACTGGGTCTGTCCTGTACAATTTTGACTATTATATATCTTCTTACTTAAAGTGTGTCTTCTATGAGAGATGAAGCTTTCTCTTGCATTTGTCTGTGTGAATTATAAATTATGCCCAGGGCTACTTCATTGACTTGTATCCATAGTTTTCATTGTCAACTTAATACAACCTAGAGTCACCTGGGTAGGGGGAACCTTAATTGAAGACTTGTTCAGATTAGATTGGCCTATGGCCGTGTCTATAAGAGACTGTCTCGATTGATGGCTGGTATGAGAGGTACTGTGGACAGTCCCATCCGTAAGCAGGTGAAAAAGAAAGCTAGCTGAACACAAGCCACAGAGCAAACCAGTAGCCAGCACTCCTCCTTGGCTTCTGCTCCTGGCTCCTTTAGTTCTCTTCCTAAATTGTTTTAATCATTTTGTTTATCACAGCAACAGAAAGTAAACTAGAACACAGTTCCCCAATATCTTCTGGAACAATTCTTAATCCTCACCATACACTTGTAAGGAGTAAGGTTTTTCCTCCCGCTGCTGGTCTTGTCCCGCCACCACGCCAACCCCAATTAACACACTGAGACTCTGTATTTGATATAATTCTGTTGGCCAGGAACTAGTTTCTTATCGGCTAGCTCTGTCTTAAGTATTAACCCATTTCTATGTATTTCCATGTGATCTTACCGAGAGCGGAGGAACGGCAGTCCTGTTCTCTGCAGACTCTCCATCTTGACCCCTCCTACTACTTCCTCTTTCCTCCTTGTCTCCTAGTCCCTCCTATCTTCCTTTCCTATTGGCCAACAATGCTTTATTCATTAACCAGTATGAGAAACATATATACATAATGGCATCTCCAGTCATACACTGAGTGATGGGCTAGTTGGTATTGATCAGCCCAGGGGTAATACATCCTTCTGTCTGTTTCTTGTTGCATATAAAGTCATATAATCTTCTACTGTAAGAGTAGCTTCATTTTTACACCATTCTTGTGTGACTCGTGGCCACTTAAGGACTATGATCAATTGTCCCCTGTGTGGCTGTCACCACCTCAACATACATGACATACTTACAATAACACAGGAAGTGCCAACCAATCACTTCATGACATAACACTGGGCATATTTTATATTTGCATTGGGTAAACTCACTTATCCTTGCACTAAGACCTACACCTGTAATTTAGCTTGTTTTTAAGATAAAATGCCCTATCACTAGGCAAAAAAAAAAAAAACCATACTGGAAAGCAGACACACATCTATTGCATATGTAAACAACC